GTTCTTCTGTTTGTTTCAAAGTCTGCAATGAGGACTTGGCTAAAGCCTCTTGTAAATCTTTGAGTGTAATGGAGGGAGGAGGTGTTGGTGGGGGAGATCTAGGTTTTTGTTGTTGAGTTTGCACCACAGGAGAAGAAATAGCTGTTTTAGACAATGCAGGAACAGTACGTTTTGAAGCCATTCTGCCAAATTATTTTTTAAAAATCACAGCAAGTATAAACTTAAAAAGCTTGACTTTAAATAAAAAATTAAAATCCTTTAAAGTAATCCACAACCGGAAAGAAAGTGAAAGTTTTCTTTTTGTTAAAAAGAAAGGAATGCGTCCACGGCCATTTTCTTGTCATTTTCACTTGTAGCAAGTAAAAAATCCCAATAAAGTCTTCGAGTTAAAGTCACTTTTTAACTAAAATAAAGGTCCCCTGTCAGATTCCGTCTGTTTCAAAAGTTACTCACAAGCAGCTACAATGTAACAGCAGTGGCGGCGACGTCTGGCTTCGCTCCGAGGAACGAAGACACACCGAGCTGCGGAGAAGAGGTTAGGACTCCGGGGGAATTCTCACCTACACCCCCCCAGGATCGCTCCTGGGGGGACTAGGGAACTCAACCCCTATCCCAACCAAACTCACTTTCTCCCCTTCGCCCAGGGAGAAAGTTCCGAGCCGCAAAACAGCTGATCCGCGCTGTTTTGACGGCTTTGACGCAGTCCCGGGCTGGAGGCTAAAGAAAAAGCCTCCTTCGGCGGCGCCTCGCCACAGGAAGCCTCCACCTTTATACATATTCAACGAAAAAAATTCTTTCAATTGGTCTTTACACTTCTGCACATTTATATCATATCTAAATAAATTTTCATTCAATCTCCAAGTTCTGCTCTTCCCTTCTTCACCAAATAATTCCATCCACACCGGGCTATGATCTGACAATGTCCTAAGGAAAATCTTAACATTCTTCACCCTGGAAAGAAAGTCATTAGTTATCAGAAAAAAGTCAATTCTCGAATAGGATTGATGCCTATCCGAAAAAAAAGTATAGTCTTTCTCTTCCATATTCCGTTCCCTCCATATATCTTCTAGTTCCAGTTCCTCCTTTAAATCAAAAAAAGTTTTTGGCAATATTGAATTAAAAGCTTTACAGGAACCTTTCTTGTCTTTTCTTGAATCTAAAACACCATTCCAATCTCCCATCATAATAACTGATTTGTAATCCATTTGATTTAATTTCCGATGTATCAATTTATAAAACTGTTTCTGCTGTTGATTTGGAGCATATAATCCAATGATAAGACATTTCTTCCCATTCAAAAACACTTCAATAAAAACATATCTTCCTTCTGGGTCAGAGTCAATCAATTTAGGCAAAAACTCCTTCTTAACATAAATAACTACTCCACCTTTTTTCTGAGGCGCAGGTGCAGTAAAATGTATTCCCAACCGTGAGTTAATCAAAAACTTTTGATCTTTCGCTGTAATATGAGTTTCTTGCAAACAAACAACATCATTTTTATGTTGTTTCAAGTAGTAAAATTTCTTTTTTCTTTTCTGCGGTGAATTCAAGCCATTAACATTCCATGTCAGGAACCTTGCCATCTTTAGTGGCAGAGAGCCTCAGGAACGCCCCTTGCAAATCAGTCGTCACTGATCTCTTTGGTCTTGCTCCTCCCACTGACTCTGAACTTACTTGCTGCGCTGTGGGTACCACTTCCACTTTTTGTTGCTCTCTTTCTTTGCGTCTATGAGCTGCACGGGTCAATCTCTGTGATTTTGGATCATCTTTAATTTCCAAAAGTTGTAGCTCAGCTTGAACTTGATCTTGTAAATTAGTAACACTTGATGATGATATAGCTCCTTGAATAACTTTATCTTCAGGAATTCTTTCCTTCCTAGTACCTTGTGGAGACACTGGTGAACCTGCTTTCAAAATTGAACTGTAAAAATCCTTTGCTTTTGCCACCGTGTTGAGCCGATAACGTATGCCCGAATAATTAACCATTATACCAGCTGGTATATCCCATCTAAATTGAATTTGTCTCACTTTCAACTCTTCAGCCAAAAAGGCAAAATCCTTCCTTCTTCTGAGTATCTTGGGTGGTATTTCTTTTAAGATTATCACGTCTTGTCCTAAAATTTGAAATCTCTGTTTATAAAAAGCTTGAATAATTTCATTGCGGATTGATTTTCTTGAAAAGTAAATAACAACATCTCTTGGAAGGTTTCTCTGTCTTGCAACCCATGAATTAACTCTAAAAAAAATTTCCACTTCTCTCATAATTTCTTCAGGTTGGCAGGACAGAACCAAGACATATTCTGCTGCAATTTCCTCCTCCAATTTTTCTTGGACATTTTCCCTCAGCCCTCTTATTCTCAACGCATATTCCATTTCTCTAAATTGTGCCATAAGAATCTCATTCTGAGCTATATCCGCATTCTCTTCCACTTTCCCCAGTCTAATTTCCAAAGTGTCAACATGTTCTTCCACATCATCCACACGCCCTTCAATGCGTTCTACATGGCCAGCCAAACCTTGCAATGCAAACAGTATATCATCTCTCATCTCAACATTTTTTTCTTCAAGTTTCTCCTCAAGTTTCTTTTCAAGCAACTCATCCATTTCACATCTAATCTGTTTGGCAGTGTCCTTCAAAGCATCTTGTAAATCTTTCAATGTTAAGGCTGGCATTGGAGGAGAGGGCGGGGGAGTAGGTTTTGTCTGCTGTGATGTTTGTACAGCTGGGGAAGAGCTCGAGCTTTTCTGAGGAACAAAAGTTCCCACACGCTTTGAAGCCATTTTACTTTCTCTTCTCCTCTTATAATTTTATTTATATGATATAATGTCCAATAAAATTTTGTAAAAACAGCCAACAGAAACAGGAGCAAAAGGCTTGCCCACAGACAACAAAATAACCAAGTCTGGTACAGTAATAATCCAGCAGAAAGTAGAAGTAGAATTGAAAGTCCCCAAAAAATAAAAGTCTCTGTCAAAGAGCAAAACGCCCTTCCGCAGCCATTTTTTTTCTTCTTTAAGTTAAAGTATCAATGGAGAAGCATTATTAACTTCAGAGCTAAAGGTTCAAATCCTTCCAACTTCCAACCTCCTGGATCGCTCTGTCCGCTCATATAAGTTTACTCACGATCTAGCTTCGTTCACAGGAACGGAGGCAGCCCGAAGCGCGGAGAAATCCCTGACTCCGGGGGAACTCACCTTCACCCCCACAGCTATAAAACCGTGGGAGCTAGGGAGTTCTACCCCTATCAGGGAAGCTCCCCCCCTCCCCTTTGCCCGGGAAAGGGGATTCCGAGCCGCGGAGCAGCTGTTGAACGCTGCTCCTGCGGCTCTTACGCGTCCACGGGGCGGGCGGCTCGAAAGAAAGCCACCATCGGCGCCGGAATTCAAACCGGAAGTCGCAGCAATGTGGGTCTTGAACCTATAAACTTCTGGAAATTACAGCATTTTCCTGGGGCCACCAAGCCTCAAGTAATGGTTAAAACAACCCATGTCTTGGTACAATGTATAACATGTACTGTCTTTCAGTAGTTGTAATTTGTAAAGATGTGTTGAAGCATTTGAATTCTTGCTCCATTCTCCATACAATTACCACTCCCCATTTGCTTTCCTTCATTACACACATCCTGGGAGAATAAGTTACCTTGCATTCATCAGCTGAAAGATTATGATACAGGGGGCACCCAGATATAGAGAAGTGTCGCTCATGTTTTCCTGTTAGGTGTCCTGTGGAAAGCCAAAGAAATGTAGTTTATGGCTTGCCAAAAAGAACATATGGGAAGTTTTGGCAATAGAAAATACTACTAATTAAAACTCATTCCACTGTACCTAATGAATTGCAGCCAGGGGTGGGACATTTCATGTTGAAATTATAGCTTTCATGGAAACGCCGTCGTTTGGGGCGTTGTGAAAGATCACTCCCTGAATCTTTCATGGACATATCCTTGGCAATACTTTCATCATGTGACATGTTGGGACTAGAGATATCAATATCAGACTCTGATGAAGGAGCATTCCCAGTTGGAGTGCGGGGTGGGGACTCATCATGGTCAGCTACATTTTTTGTGTCTGTTGAGAAGGGAGAAAATTAGGATAGTGTACAAAAAGGTTGCTAAGTTAGAAAATATACAAAAAATAAATACTTCCAGAGTCATTTTTGTATGTCAGTGTTACACAAAAAAGGGAACACAATGCTAGAGATATATTGTTTCCTTCCTAGCCAGTCACTGAGGATGCTCTGGAGATGAACAAGAAAATCAGTCAGACAAAGTTAAGTTGTAATCAAGGGTGACATAAAATGGACACCCTCACACTGTTGTTCTTTATCTCCATCTCTCTTACACATATTATGGAATCAAGCAATGCCTAGGATGTTGAATGCAGTCTTAGCAAAGAGATTGCTTTTTAACCTAGTATATTACCACTAAAACATTCTACAAAGGAAGCTGAGCAAATACTACTGTATGAATGAATTCTCCAACTCCACATATGATAACAGTTATTAGGAGTGTCCTCCCCAACCATTCAAATGTACAAACCTCTATCAGAAAAATCAACCACTTGCTCGGTTTCTGAACCTGATGAACGAGTCTGTCGCAGTGGATATTTCTTGGGAGTTACAGGTGTGGGCTGCTGCTGACTGCAGGTTACTCTCCGAGTAGAATAAAGGGAGTCTTCTGCTCCAAATGATGGTGGACTTTGAACTGGGCTGGAATCTATGAAGGATTGGGAGGGATTTTAAGGGGGAAACCTAGCATCTCATTTTAGGAAACATCATTACAGAGCCCACGTTCAGTGTTGCCATATTCTTTGTGGTTCTTACTGTAGTAGACTAACATGGCTATTCTTTTAGGAACTATTAAAATGGGAAAGTTTTACACAATTTTCATCTGATTATAACCTACTTCCTTGCATTATTGCATATCTAAATTAAGTTTAAAAGACAATGTAAATCACAAAGTTTATAATATAAATCTTCAGTTCATCACAGTATTGGAATAGAGGATCCTGGAATACAGAATATATATGGAATACTGTTCTTTATTGTGCTACCTTAATTTGCCTAAATGCTTTTTTTATCAAAATATATATGTTCCAAAATGCATATAGGTTCATCACTTTGGTAACCTGAATTTTCCTTTCCTGAAATGTTGACAACCAACAGTATGTTTAACTAACGATCAAAACTGGTGCAAAGATGTTACGATTCAGAGGATGTTCTGTTATACACTGCCTTTTTGTATTTACCCAAGGAATAGAGTTTGAAACAATTCACATATAAATTGCCACAAGGATGAGTGGGAGTAAAGCTGCTTGCTTTGCGGGGTGGGGGGTTGGGGGGGTGCCTGCCCCACGGAGGGAGCTTTCTTGCTCCTTGGAGGCTCTCCAGAGGTGATAGATCTGCTTTGTTATGCCCTACCGGCAGATGCTGAGAAATCATCAAGCCACCTGGAGCAGCTGAATGATGGCTAGGGTAGTCAGGTGAGCTGTGGCGCAGCAAGGGGAGCAGACCAACAACCTGGCAACCTGACCCGGGGAATTTAGGATCCTGCAGAGCCTGGCTGGCAAGCGTACAGCTGCGACATTGGCAAGCACCAAGATGTTGGTAAATATCTAAGTCCCCTGAAACAGCTGAGCAGCTGCAGCCAAGATGACAATCAGCTGGGCTCCAACAGAATAGGTGGTGGCAGAGCAGGAGAAAAATGGAGCAGTTCAAGGCCCAAAACCAACCTGGGGGACCTCCATGGAACCCTGCTGACCAACCAGCCAGTGAGAGACCAGGGGGAACTTCAGCCGCCAGCAGCAGTCAAGTAGCAGCAGCAACTAGTTGAGCACCGTGGACCAGGGAAGTGGCTGGGCAGCTCAAGGCTTAAGACTAGCCCATGAACTAATAACTGAGCTATTGGCTCACCAAAGAAGCAACTGGCACCAATAAAGGAGAATATTTGTAGCTCAGGTTTGAAATGAGGGGTCCTTGGTGCTCTTTGAGCTTGGCTGTTTTCTTGCAGACATTTCATTACCCAAACTAGGGAACATCATCAGTGCTAGTAAGGAGTGGGGTTTGCTCTCAGTTTATATTCTAGTGCAGGGGTAGGCAACCTTGGCTCTTTTATGACTCGTGGACTTCAACTCCCAGAATTCCTGAGCCAGCATGGCTCAGCTTGGAAACCTCTCCCTTTTCCCTCAGCATGGCTGGCTCAGGAATTCTGGGAGTTGAAGTCCACGAGTCATAAAAGAGCCAAGGTTGCCTACCCCTGTTCTAGTGGCTTGCCCTGTCAGTGTTGGTGGGGGTGGTCTTAGAGGTTCTTTGGTTGGGATGCTTACTGTTGGCTTGTTTGGCAGTTCCTCGATTGGGGTACTGTTTACTTCTTGACTGTTGGTCTGATCTTGGAGTTAATCTATGCTGATCTGGGTGCTGATTGGTGGGGAGATGTTTTGGTCTTTTTGTTCCCTTTTTGGCTTGATTGTATCTTTTGCATAGTATGTAGATATTGTTTACGTCTACGTGTCTATTGATAGCTAATTTCTCAGCGTGCCAAGAGTCTAGAAATTCCTTAGCATTTTTAGACTTGTCTTGGTCTAGGATGGTCACACTTTCCCAGTTGAAACTATGGTTAAGTCTGTCCATATGTTGTGAAATTAAAGAGTTTTCATCATGTCTGCTACTAGTTGGTGTTCATGGATGTGTTTTGCTAGTCCTCTGCCTGTTTGTCCTATGTAGTGGCTGTTGCAGTCATTACACTACATGTTGTAGATGACTTTTTTCTTCTGGGGTTGCTGGGTCTTTTGGTTTGCTTAGGATGTTTTGAAGGGCTTTATTTGGTATCAAAATGCTAAGATGTATATCAAAAACATCTCAAGAACCACCAATACACTGCTACAACCACATGGAATCAGTGTAGCACACAAGAAAACTAAAGCCCTTCAAAACATCACTCCATGAAGGGTGGGTGGAGATTCACTGGCATATGATACAGCTCCTCTCATTTGGACAAAGCTTAGGAGAAAACATCTAATCATTGCAGGCATCCTTTCCCCAAAAGCAGAACTTTGAAATCCAAAATGAAGAATTCTGAAACATCTAGATATACCTTGTGAACTCTGGCTGAGCCTAGCAGAAGATCGTGTCACACGGGCAGACTGGCGTGATGCACCATCACTTTCTGAACTGTCTGTATGTTCTGGGTCTGTAGAGATATCTGAGTCTTCTGTTCCATCTGAACTGCTTCCTGCATTTCTCTGAAAGGCCAACAACACATAAGACAAATCCTTTAATGCAGAGCTGCTCAACTTTGGGGGGGGGGTGCTTTTGAGTCAGCTTTTGACTCCTGGTGACTCCTGGACCAGTCCCCACAGTATTCTTGGCAAGGTTTTTGGGAAGTGGTTTGCCATTGGCTCCTTCCTAGGGTTGAGAGAGAGGGACTGGCCCAAGGTCACCCAGCTGGCTTTGTACCTAAACCGGGACTAGAACTCCCAGTCTCCTTGTTTAGAGCTTGGTGCCTTAAACACTACACCAAACCAGGTCTCATCTCAAAAATTAGGATACACTATATTTAATACATGTTATAACTTTAAAATATTGCTCATGTGCCCAACAGACATTTAGTTCTAGCTAAAGCCTAGGTGAATTTCAGAGTTCTCTCTTTGTCATCTTTGTATCCAACCTTTGTATGCTGTCTCATTTAATTTTGAGAGATTGCAACAATATATCATAAAGGAACCCCTAAGTCAATTTGCCATGGATATTATATTTTTTCTTTTAACGACCCTGTAATCCCTTGCATCAGGGTGGAATCGGAGCGACTGAATGGAGCTGAGTGTTTACTGGCAGGATGCCCTTCCTGACGCTTATGCGGAGTTCACATCAGATATTTTCTCTTTGCGCCCAGAGAGAGAAACATCTGCCGCTACCTAGGATTGAACTCACAACCTCCTGATTGTGAGGCGAGAGCTCCATCTCTCGGTCACCACACCGCTCTGCCATGGATATTATACATGAAACCTAGTTCCCTCTAACTTAGACTGGCAGATCACATGAATCATCTTATTAAGGGAAACACCAATGTTCTTTTTTTTAAAAGATTCTAGTATATATCTAAAACTCTCTACTAAACATGAATAATTATTCAGAGCTGGCAAAGCTAGTGATATTTTTACAAAGGTTTAAGCCAAAATAAATTTGCTAGCCTTTAAATTAAGTATCAGGATGCTCATTCTTGCAGAGATGACTGCCAGAAAACTCCTATCCAATTTGCATGCTGTTCAGTAGAACTAGAAATTTCTTTCAAAAACCTGGTTTTGTAGCTCATTAAAACGTTTGGCGTGTTAAAAAATGCAGTTCTATTCTAAACAGATTTAACTTACAGGCAAACCCAATTGACTTCCAGCAGACATGCAAATAAAATTATAATGACCCAAGAACCAACCTATTGCCCATTCAATCTTGTTGTTCAGTCACTAAGTCGTGTCTGACTCTTCACAACCCCATGGACCATAACATGTCAGGCTCCCCTGTCTTCCACTGTCTCCTGGAGTTTGCCCAACTTCATGTTCATTGTATTGATGACACTATCAAACCATCTCAACCTCTGCCATCCCCTTCTCCTTTTGCCTTTAATCTTTCCCAACATCAGGGTCTTTTCCAATGAGTCCTCTTCTCATTAGGTGGCCAAAGTATTTGAGCTTCAACTTCAGTATCTGTCCTTCCAAAGAACAGTCAGGGTTGATTTATTTTAGGAATGACTGGTTTGATATCCTTGCAATCCAAGGGACTCTCAAGAGTCTTCGCCAACACAATTCAAAAGCATCAGTTCTTCGGAGCTCAGCCTTCCTTATGGTCCAACTCTCACAGCCATACATTACTACAGGGAAAACCATAGCTTTGATTATACGGATCTTTGTTGGCAAGGTGATGTTTCTGCTTTTTAATATGCTGTCTAGGTTTGCCATAGCTTTCCTCCCAAGGAGCAAGCATCTTTTAATTTCATGGCTGAAGTCACAATCTGCAGCGATCTTGGAGCCCAAGAAAATAAAATCTGTCACTGCTTCCATTTCTTACCCTTCTATTTTCCAGTAGGTGATGGGACTGTGGGAAGTCACACACACACACACACCCGCAGAGAAGGAAATATTAAAAAGGCAGATGTCAACGCTGCTAATATTGAATATTCTTGCTTTGACAAAATATGCAGAACTGTCTGGTATTTTTAGAGTTAATTCAGATGACAGAGAAAAGGGAGGGGAAATAACAAAAGCCCGGGAAAAGGAACGAAAGTGAATCTCTGCCCTCTGGGCTAATTGGAAGATGTGACTTGTGACTGCAAGATAAGGGAGGGGTTTAGCAAGAAAAGTTAGATGCCAGCAAGAGGAATTCAGATTCTGGCATAAACCTCCATGATGTGCCGGCAAGGGATAAAGTGCACCTGTTTGGAAAACAAGTCCGTGACCGTCCAGACAACAGTATTCCCATTGCTTTCTGGTAATTCCACTATAAAATCCATGGCTATTTCCCTCCAGGGGCTGAAGGATTTGCCACTGTTTGTAACAGTCCGGGCGATTTCCCTTGCAACCTCTTTGCAGCTGCACACTTTGGGCAGCTGGCCACGTAACTTTCTATGTCCTTTTTTATGGGTGGCCACCAAAATTGCCGTTTAATTAAGTGTAATGTTTTTACAAATCCAAAATGCCCTGCTGATTTTGTGTCGTGGCAAAGCTGCATGAATGTGACTCTTTGGGTTGTTGGTATATATAACTTTTCCCCCACCCAAGGCAGCCCGTCCCTCATTGTTCACACATTTTTGTTTTTCTGGAACCATTCATCTGTTTCCAAACTTTTCTGGAATTCAATTCTGGTTTGGCTGCCCAGCTGTGGTTTTAATTTAGCTTGGGCTCTGGTGGTTACTGGCGCTGCCAGTTGTGATTCTACCATCATCGGTTTAGAGTCGGTGGCTCGCGTGCTGTTATATTGGGGCATGCGAGATAGTGCATCTGCCAGGAAGTTCTTTCCCCCCGGCAAATGCTTGAGCGTAAA